CTCAAGTTGTGGAGTGACAGAAGCAACACCATTTCCACAAGGATTGTCACTCGGTTCTGAACTGGAGACAGTACAGTCATCAGGCTTGGTATCTACTTCGGTTCCCTCTTGATCGGAATCCGAATCAGACATTTCCTCCTCGAGAGGACCACTTTCAGTAATAATATCACTCGTCCCATCCTCCTCGCCTCTTACCCTTCGTTCATTCAGATGAGCACCCAAAGAGCTCTCGTCTAAGCGGAATAACAAACCAAATCCCATGATGAGAGGATGAGGGGGAAGATAGTTCTTCTTTCCACGGATCATGAAGCTTCCAACCGTGAGATATTCTCCCGTGGGAGCAGTCTTGCTCACCTGGTGAGGGTACACCCACCATGCACTAGTGACAATTTTTGAATCCCAAGCTTGGCTGTGGCAGACCTGCAATTTACAAACAAACCTTAAATTAGTGTATTTGGTTTGTTGTATTTGCAAATAGTGTTGTTTGTCTCCATCAATTCACTTTTAATTTGTTCTTCCCAAATTATTTGCTTTTTACCAAATGCTGAAACAAACACACCCCATAGAACTTAGGATGAACAACTTACAGTAAAACATCCAGCTTGATTTAAAGTCAAAGGAGGAACTGCTTGGTCGGGCCTATGATTCTTGATCACTGTACTAGAAGCACCATGTAGCTCAGCATGAACATACCTGTTCAACAGGGGAACTGAATAGTAAGTTTCTTTTGCTTTCAAATATCTGCAGTTGATGATATACGTCCTCCAACAACAAAAAGCTTTAACATTATCTCAGTGAGGGATTTGAATAGGATGAAAGCACACTCACAGATCTCCCTTTGACATGTACCGCTTCACTATCATTTCATTCTGTTGAGCATCACGTCCACTAATAACTAGATAGTTCTCACTGCTGATAAACCAATTAAATTTCTCAAACCAATGAACTTTCCGCATATGCGATATTGTAGCAACAGCTTTCTCCTGCATATAAATTACTCAGAAATCAACATGACATACAGCCTTATAAAAGAAAAGGCCAGATGTAAAAACTGAAATCTCAGATTAGCCAGCTACCTGAGAAAGCTGAATACGAGTCTTTCTCTCAGCTGCTTTAAAAGCTTTTTCATGCGCCTTAACAGTCTTTTCCTGCTTACTTTCTTGCTTTTTCTTCATTTCATACCACCTACGAGCATTGGCATGAGCAGAAAGAGCTATATCCACTTCTACCTGAAAGCAGAAACATATCAACAACTAGAATATTTTGTTGAAAAACCTATAGCAGAAAATGCTGCGATCAAATAAGATCTTGGGAGCAATATGCTGATGTGACAAAAGACGGCAATACAAATTGATAAACCAAAGCATCAATCACGACCATTCAACCTTATCTGCTGGAATATTTTGTTGAAACAACCTATAGCAGAAAATGCTGCGACCAAATAAGATCTTGGGAGCAATATGCTGAGGTGATAGAAGACGGCCATAACAAATTGATACGCAAAAGCATCAAACATAACCATTATAACCTTATCTGCTGGAAGAGTCTTCTCATCATCATCCATTTCATCAAGATTGTTGCTCAGCAGCAATGTCATGCAGTTCTTTTCAAGATGAAGTTTGTCAATAAGCGCAGCCACAGGATTCCCTGATTTCCTTTCTTCCTTTACCATACGAGCAAGATCCTCCCAACTCATTCCTTTGGCAAGAGCAACACGAACAGCAAGGATGGCAGCATCAACATCTTCCAAGTTGTACTCTATCAGTTCCGCCATTTTAACAAATTGATCGACTTCTTTCCTAAGGTTCAGCACACGGCTTTCCTACAACATATAGAATTGAGAAATTGAAACCTCAGCAGATACAAACTTTTGCTTAAAAGGCCAGGATGAAGAAAAATAGAAATAAGTTATTTCTATTCTTTACTTGTGTTCATCACAAAAAAAAGATCTGGGACCATCAAGATGATATGTAAAGAAATCCTTGCTCTGATAAGCTATCAGGCTATCAGTAAAGGAAACAATCTTCTCAACAGATCACCTCTATTGGATTATGAGAATCAGAAATGTGCATGAAATCGAAGAAAAGTTATTAATTCAAGCACATGTTGAAATAAACCAGTATTTTCATATATCACAACACCACACAAAATGCTCTGAAATGCAACTAGAGTTTGCACTATAACAAACATGACATAAAATGCCAACAGGAAAAGAAAAGGCATCATCTCCATCGACTTTATAGAAAAAATAGCAAACAAAAATTCAGAAAAACATAGTAATGTAATATACACACCTGATCTGTGCGTATCTTATTTAATTTTTGAACGGCAGAGTCTTCTTTTGCCTTCTGCTGTAGCTCTGATCTTTGACTCTCAATTTTGCTATAAAACTCATCTAGTGCTGCATCAAATGTATCAAACTTCTCATGTTCCCTTGTTTTGAACTGGTTTAACAATATTGGGCAGAACTCGTCGTACATCTGCAGTGGATAGCAAAACTGTGAGTTTCAAGCAACAAGACCTAAAACTATCTATGTCTTCTGCACTAGCTCTAATCCTTATGAATCGTAGTAATTTCCTTTTTCATAATTAAACTTTATACTAAAAAAGTTATAGATAGCATAAACCATCTGTCTTCTGCATCTTCTGTTAGGAACCCAATGACCACGAATAAGGAAAAAAGAAAACACTAGCATGGAAAGCATGCATGAAGATGAGAGACTAAGAACTAAAACAAAATCAACCTTGATATGGCCACCAGATTCAGATGCTGCACTGTTTCTGCCTACATTGTCCTTTTGCATCAAAATGTATCCCTCTGGAATTTTTTCTCCTGAAATAATGTCTTGAAGCCAATCTTCAAATCTTTTGACGGCCTCAAGCAAAACATGTATTGCATCTTCATCTAACTTGTTACTTGCAGAAAGCTTTGTATTTGGAGCTAGACCAGCATCTAATATCATATGCTCAGATAGTTGAGGACCATAACCCAATGCTTCCCCAAGAACAATCTTCAGTGTGACTTGTTTAGCATCAGAATTTTTTTTCGACTCAGAAGCTTTGCCACCTTTTTGCTTACCCTGCTTTTCCTTTTTGGGTCTATCAGTAACTTCAGCTTCACCACCATCAACTTTAGCAGAATCAGTTTCCTCGGGTTTATCAACACGTGCAAGGGCATCCTGCAACTTTGTTGCAGTAGTTCGCTCAAAAACTCGAGAAATTTCAACAGGATATCGGTGCCTTGACATGATTGCAATCCCTTTATCATCATCTCTGTCGAGGAAAAGATTTCATCATTCAAATGATAGATTTCTCAAAAATAAGCTACTAATCAATTCATGGTAAAATGATAAAGTCGGAGATAAGTAGAAATCACCAACCTATGTGATCGGAGAAGAGTCAGAACTTGATAATCAGGATCAGTGAGAAGGATGTTCCCTTGAGCATACAACTCCAATATCACGTAGTGTGCATTTGCACCAAGCCCGAATTGAAATAGAATAATCTGAGAATGGAGATAACAGTTATAGGATATCATGATGCTTAGAGAGCATAGTGCTAAACAACCAAACCGAAAGGACTTCCAGTAGTTTCATACCCTATCATATCCAAGCTGCCGCACATCCTCTAGGCGCCTTGTGCGTATATGCTTCCTCAACTTAAGTGTGAACCCCGAAGGAGTATTACTCTTATCCCTATAGTTCACATTCCATCAAACCAGTTAAAGCTAAACAAGCAATCAACTGCATAAACCTGAATTGATAAGTGAAATCCAATCTAATATTCCAAAGACTACATGCTATATATAACAAATTAAGCAAACTAAGACCGTTCCAACACATTTCAGCCATTGATGACGACCTGCCACGAAGAAATGGAGCTTGCCAATTGGCAGACGAACTAACACAAACAGTAAAGAGCAAGAACGTAAGGGATGATTTACCGAACATAAGCGGTGGTATGTAAACGAACGCCGCTTTCCATTAGCAGCAGAACCTTCTCGCTCTCTCCTGACTCCGTTTGTCCGCTGCTGTTCATCAGCTTGAAAACATACGTCTGTAATCACAAGCAAACGAGTTCTGAATTCTGAATTCCAATAGTAATCAAAAGAAACCGCAAGCGTAGACGAGAGAGAGAGGGAGGAGAAGAGGAACCTTGGGAGTAAGATCATAGACATTGGAGCACCGCATGCCGATGAGCCGCCGCAAGCACTTGACCTCGGCGGCCACATCGGCAGTGTTCATCCGCACCTTCACCATTTTCGCTCCCCTTTCTCCCGGCCGTCCGCTTCACGAATTTCGTCAATAGCTGCTGGGCTCTCCTCCCTCTTTCCGCGGAAATGATCCTGCTCGTCGTCCACCGCCGCACCAAATCTCGTGATTCTTCGGGCAGGCAGCGTGCCTGATGCGAGTCGACGGGATACCAAAGGCTGGGTTTCTCTACTTCTATTGGGCTCAGAGGCATGAACAATAATGGGCCTTCTCTTTTGTTTTGACAATTGTTGTGCTTATATTCTCGACCCAGTAAAGTAAAGAGAGACCACGGGCCAAAACCTTTTCGTATTACTCCGAAACATATCGAATCAATTTGGCACAATTATCTTATTTTGAGATAATTATACCAAATTAACTCATTTGTCTGCAAAAAATTTAGATGGATAAATTACCTGAGATATTTTGAATTAATTCATTCTCAGTCAATTTCATTTATGTGGGGTAAGAGCAGGTAATTTGAATTGACTCATTTTAATTGCCTTGTTTATAAAATAATATAATTAATAAAATTGTCTCATTTTTAGATGGATCTATCCAAACGACCCTAATTGTATTAGTGTGATTTTTTTTTAACGTAGGTAATTTGGAATGGCCGAAAGGGATTTGGCGATGGATTTAAAGGAATCTTATGGGTAGTTGGAGAACTCTGATAATATTTGATCCACAAAAATGGATGCAGCATTTTTTTGTCAAAAAAAAAATGGATGCAACATTAGACTTCATGGTCATGGATATAAAATGATAGAATCACACAACAAACTTTCTACCGAGTTATTCGCTTACAATTTCTGTACAATCCATATTTTCAATTACTTATGTTTATCGGAAATTAGCTACTTATCAACAACCCTATTTATTTTCGAAACTTGGGGAAAAAAGAGGCCGAGAAGTCTGTTGTGATTCATCAACACTTCATGCCCCAATGCCATGATCAATGGACAACTCTAGCTACATGAAGCATCAGCCTCAGTTCTCAGCAAAAAACTGAGACGTGGAGATCAAACAGAATGTACAGACTAGAGACCATTTGGAGGATTCTAAAGAAATACAAATCAACAGTCCTAGATCCAAGAAGGATACAGCTTTCATTTCATTACAACCCTCCATATCTAACCTTGAAATATATACACCTTTGTGCCAGTTTCCAAGTCCGTCAATGTAGGATCTTCTGCTGTAGAATTGTTGTCTCGCTCTCCTGCCAAGAAATTTTCGCCTCTAGCGACGAGGAACTATACAATACCAACATTCGCAGAAGCAGTAGTTCTGGCGAGACCAGTCGCGCTCTCCTCCATGACTGACCACCTGGTCTTAGCATGGTTTGCATTCAGCTGAGATCAAAACCAGCCTCTGCATTAATTGCATACAGCAATTTTGCTTTCATTTGCTCCTTGCTGTGAATGGCACGAAATATGAGAAGCCGAAGCATAACTCGAACATCCAGAGATTGATAGTTTTCTGTTCTGCAAGAACTTGGGAATGAATGGAACAAACCTTCTGTAAGGAGGAAGCTTTAGTAGATTCATGCAGGTAGCTGATGTCGGCAACCGGTCAAGAGCTTCATCAGAGGCATTACCAGCAGCCCTGTAAGCAAAAGTTCAAGTTTGAAAACTTATCAAACAGTTTGTTTTAAGAGAGAGAGAAAAAAATATTTATCATGCCATTAAAGCAGGCATCCTCCGTGGTCACTAATTACCTCTGTATGCAAAATAAGGGCTCCAGGTATTTGAATCCAAGCAACGGTCCTCGAGAGCAACCAGTAACAAACCTGAACATTGGATGTGAAAATTTAGAATCTCATACTGAGGTTTGCTAGCTTCTCTAACACCAGTGAAGTAATGCTGTAGCTCATCTAACTACAGAAACATGAAATAATGATGGGAAACAGAGTACAAACATACTTCAGAAATTTCTTTTGATTCTCTAATGAAAAGCCTTTGATGACATCCCAGAACATGTCGATAACATAATGCTCCTGTACAGATAGATTAGAGTTAGTATAAGCTTGCAACTGCAGGTTTCTCTTTCACATCATTACTCGTAACTACCACTATGTTCCTGTCATATATTGTCAGAGAACATCTAGTTATAATTGTTGCTTACTTTGTGATAACCACCAGCATAGTTGGCGTGAGTGAGAAGATCATCAACATCCAAACTTTCGAGTGAACCAGATATCAAGAGCTGTTTCCAGATTAACATTTGACAAAGGTCAAATTCACAGCAAAAAAGAATGATAGTTCATGAGGCCAATTAATATGGACTGAAGCATTTGTAAGAGGATAAAGAAGGTTTCAATTATCGTGCATGGCTACCCATCAGTATTGAGAAAAACAGACAACCAGAAGATGATGTAGCTTATTCAATTCATATTAAAGATATAGGTGTAATTGCTAACAATGTCGACACAATTGAAAGGGTGACAATTGTTATGTGTAAAATGGTGATTGCAGAATCTTCTCCTGAACCAGGGACCACAAAATTCAGATTGAAATATTAGAACCATATCCCAATTAGAGAAGACAAAACAAGATGTGATGCAAAACAATTCAGATATCATAATCAAATAACTATGTTCTATGACTCACAACCATAGGCACATCCAACCTTTGCATATTATCAGATTGGAGATTAAAATGATAAAATCACCAAGAATACCTGAAGTTCGTGCTCGTTGAACATATCTATCCAATCTTTCTGTATGAGCTGTTGAAAGCCCCTCAAGAAATGAGAGCTTTGCTGTCGTATCTGTGCTTCACATCAAGATCATGGTCAACATTTAGAAAATGGAACTTGCCTGCGAAATAAATATTTGAATGAGTAGGATGAATTCACTACCTGGAAATTCAACCGATGATTGGAAACAAGATGAATGAAGGTGATGACGTTCTCATTAGTAACACGCAAATTTCTGCCCCCAGGAAGAAGCTCTTCTTCCGTTTGTTCTCCGTATTCATTATTCACAATAACAAAGTAGAGCTCCAACCCTGCGATGTCACCTTGATAATGCTGGACATAATACATGTAAACAAAAAAGTGTGAAGACAAAGAAACAACATAAGGGATATAACATTCTGAGAACTGCAAGGAAACAATAATAATATTTTATTCTGAAAATTGTAGCAGGCAGTGCCAGGATAAAAATCCAAAAACTATCCAACACTTCGTCCACACACATCATTTCTCTTATCTGTTCAGTAAGGATGGAGCAGTGGAGGAAACATCACTGTTCAGCAAAGCAAGTAAAAAACTAGTAACGGTACCTTAAGGAATATAAGGTGGCGGTACAATTCTGGATCTAGCGAGGGCAAATCATTCAGATAGTTGAACCTGGCAAAAAGCAGAAGAATTTATTAGAGATAGTAAACACATTGTATTTCAGATGCCATAGCATGAACTCCCAAAAAAAAAAACTAGGCAATCACTTAGAATCACAAAAGACAATTGCGAAAGAGACTTGAACACATACTTCTGCTTCAGTTTGCTCAGGAAGAATGTGGCGAATGGAATATCAACCAGAATACCTTCAAACATAGCCTGCATAAGAGAAGTGTAAGGATAGTAGACAGCTAGCTAAACAATTGAAGAAGGGCCAGAAAACAAAATTTAACTCTAATTCCAGAGGAACATGATAGAAACTAGTTGCCCGAGGAACATGAATCCTGCCTACCAATGCTGTTGCAACAATGCATGCATACTCTTTAATTCCAGAGGAACATGATGACACTAGAAACTAGTTGCCTGAGGAAGATGAATCCTACCTACCATTGCTGTTGCAACACTACATGCATACTAAAGGTATACTACCCTAAGGAATCAAGTTTATCAAGGACATGTGAACTAACACCTAACTAGCAGTCACACCAAGCACTATGAATTTTACACAATTTAAATTCCAATGCATTCACACCTTTGCAAGCAAAGACCCAAGGAAATGGAAAAATTGCAGATGTTGCTCGTGTATCAATCCCGATCCAGGATTAGGATATAGAAGATGGTCAACTGTTTCCTGCAAACAAATCCACCCACGACATCAATATAACCAAGAACAAACTAGAAAAAGATTTATATGCTGTGTCAGAGACACTGGTCACAGCCAAATATATGTCAATGCAAAATGACATGATAGTCTCCTCAAACTCTCCGAAGACGCTCCAGTATACCCATCTAATTATTTCTAGGTTGATTATAGATTCTGCCACGCACCCCAAAATCAGTGGTGCAGATTAATTACTTAATAAAGATAACGAGTTCTCTATGCAAAATAAACCTTGAATAAACCATACTGCACATCGAATGCAGCTCGAGTTATGTTTTCCATGAAATCTTTGAAGATCCCACCACCATCAATGCCAGCTTCCTCCACTCCGAGCTCATTGACGAATGTCACACGTATCTGTAAGTCAGCAGTATAACCACATTGCCCAGTCAGTTTTTGGCTAAGATTACGGATTTATATATGTTGGATATTGGCATTACCAATCCTCGCAAATCCTCTTCTGATAGTGCACTCATTTGATTATAAGCATCTTCTAGAATATGGTCTCGTCTTATTCTAAATCTGTTTCTTGCGAAAACACCATGAGGCCCATGTCTTTGCTTGATTGCCACTAGTTGCGACTGCCATACAGTTTAAAACACAAATGAACAGCAAGTCACTGACTTTTCCTCGTGGAGGACAAAGACATATGCTTAAGATAAATAAAGAGACAGAATAGTAATAACCATGTGCTCTAGGATGCAGTACAATTCAGATTAGAAAGACAGCTAGAATCACTTACATTGAATATCTTGACCCTGCTTGTGAAAGGAATCAGAAAAGGAGCTAGCTTCATTATTTCATTTGCTTTAGTTCCATCTATTACAGCCTAAAAGAAAAAACAGGTTAGCCCACCACCAAAGCAAAGCTTTCATCTAGGGCACATGGCTCGTCAGATGTTCTTACCTGAGAAATAAAGAAATCATCAACACCATCCGCATGGAAATCACTTGGTGGTGCAAATTCCCTTCTGTTATTCCAATCTTGCAACTGCAAACAAATAATAAACTTAAAGCAGTCAAGAGCAAGCCTTAAGCTAATCATAAACTCTGTGCACACACACGCACACACACACACACACACACATATATATCAAAGGCCCAGTAGCCCACACACCATGACTAATGCCAAGATCTAGTTTGCCAATTACCTGGGAGAGCAACTCAGAGGCAACAATGCTAACTTTGTTTTTAACAAATTCGTAAGGATTCTGCTTGGATGTGTTCCCACGCAATGCAGTTTTTGCTGAGGCATTGGGATGCGTAGGACTAACCCACAGCAGTTGCCATAATGCCTGCAGAACATAAATGTGTCGTATATGTAACCTTACAACCCAAATTAGAAATGATGGGAGTGGTGTGCTATTTCCATCAGTTTGATTATCAAACCTGTCTCAATATAACAATTAAGGATCGGATATCCCTCAATGATAGTGGTCTTTCTTGTTCATAAAACTCCTCATTATCGACTATCATAAGCATATGCCTGGAAACCAAGCAGAAGAATGATGTCTTAGAGTGGAAAAGCAACCATGAGAATATTTTGAAATATTAAATCCTCAGATAACTGCGGATAGTTAAATTAATGTGAAGAGAAGTTAGCATTAAAAGGGAAACTTACTTATACACAGGACAGAAAACAGCCAAAGGTAACAACCAACCAGGTGCATCCCCTGGTACAAGTGAGAGATGCTCAGGCAATGACGACCACCTTTTATTGTCATGACAGTTTTTCATGAACTCCCAAAGCACTCGAACAAGTTCAGTTCTATAAGCTAGCACAGTCATTATACGCTCGATGGGTAACGTGTTAAACGTGACATGCAGAAAGGCACAAGCAGCACCAATAGCTACAACTGATCTGTCATCTCCAACTGATGAAATTCCGCCGAATAAGATATTTATCTGCAGCATAACACATTTCAAAATCGCAGCTTAATAAGCTCCAGCGACATAGATGGTTTTTTTCAAGACTACCCTAAACATGGCAAGAGCGTATTGGCAGCTTACCAATTGCAGCATAAAGCGTGAATCTATACTGCTTATTATCTGCCGCTCCAAATCTTCGTCCAAAGCTATTTGGATGTCATCACCAGAATCCGCATCCTCTTCAATCATAGCTGCATCTGATATTAACACCCATTAAGGAGCTCAAAATCCAGTTAGAAAGTAGTATATAAAGTAGCCACCACGAGTTTGGTTAACTAATAGCTATCAATAATCCAAGTAAAACCGCATGCTGGGGAGAAATAACTCTTTCTCTCATAGAAAAAGAGGGCAACACAGGAAAAAACTTAAGAAGCAGCAACCAATAGGAACCCATACCCTCTTTAGCTTTCTGAGTTGAAGACTTTATGGGAGGAAGAGCTTCCAACAGGAACGTTGTGACAGCCGCAAGGTCAATAGCCTGCAAGTGGTATAATCCAGTAACAGGACATTACTTTTCAAGACTAAGTTCCACACAAAAAAGGAAGTCCTCATTTACCATGTTAAGGGCTAGGATATGGAGATAACAAAAATGGGAAAGACCCAAAAAGTAAGGGGCACATACACAACACAACGATTAAGGATGGCTTACCATTTCAAATGGACATGCCGGCTGCGATAACGTAACTCCAGCAGCTTCTAAAATATTTCCAAGCAGGCAGGCATAACCAGGATACTCTGCAGATATATCACCGGGCAGCAGATTGGCATGATTTTGCAGACACAGTGACATCTGATGAATGTAATGCTGGCTCAGCCCCAGAGTTGAGAAAACCTGAAGGACAATAATCAAACAAATTACGTTACTTGTCAACCTTGTGAAAGCTAAATAGCAAATCGGGAGGAATGAAATTATATGAAGACAAGAATGCTGACAACACAAAGGAAAAATTAACAGAGAGAGAAAGCTCGATCATAACAGAATGTAGAAAATAAAATACCCCTTTTAAACTTGGGAAAAACTTCCATAGGAAAGGAACTGTAAGCATCTGTGAGGAAAAACTGAATTGTGGATCAACATTGGGGCAGGTACATGAATTCTGGCCAGTGTGAGAAATCATGAACCCAAGAATGTGTTCCACTCCGGACTGTTTTCCAGTAGAGCTGGAGGTCTTCACATTTTCCTGCAGAGTGTTTGTGAGATATCTCAGAAGGCCTCACAACAAACGAATATGCAGAATTGTTCATTAGCAGCAGAGGCAAGTGAGATATACAAACAGGGAACGAATAGAAGGATCTGTCAATGCTACTAACATTAATATGGCAGCTACTCAGTCTACATGTGAAATATCGGCAATGTCAAACATACGGGATTTGGAATAGTACTTCTTCTTTTAACATGATTACCATGCTTGCACCTACTGAGCCTCAGAAGTTCAGCCACACAATTATTAAAACTATAAAACTGCACAATGCGTGAAATGGAGGAACTATACCAAAATGGCAAACTAATTACAACACGGGATGGATTGGGAGAAACATAAAAAAATCACAGACCAAAATTCAAAATAAAAGATTCATACTAACCCTTTCAGCGAGGACAATTTCGCGGAAAAGAGCAAACACATTTCTGTGGCAAATATAACTAACAGTCTTGCATGCCCATGGAAGTTTGGGATCGATCAAAGCGGCCACAGCTTCAAGCAATACAGTAGATTGCATGACAGATTCTGCATCTGGTACAAGCAGTTGCTGCCTAAAACGTGATCAGTTCCCAGAATTACAAAGAGCAGAAGCAATAGTGAATCTGACGACAAACATAATCATTATGTCTGGACCTCTCAAACCAATGACTACTTCCAAAACAAAAATTGGCAGCATCTGAAATTCCACCAAGAGAATGGGAAAAGCTAAAAGGAAAAAAAATAATAATGGTAATCTAGCAAGCTTTAAAGGAGGCCCCACCTATTTTGATATAGTGACAGAATACAGATATAGGCAAGGTTCTTCACCCGATGATCCACCAGAGCATGCACTGCTAAATAATCCACGCCAGCAAAAAGGCTCACAATATTGACTGCACCAAAATGAAAGGTCAGTGACAATAAACAGAATTCTTAAAGCAGCATAACCATACATGGGCATTCAGGAACATTCTATTACAAAGCAACATCAACAAGATTTAAAAGAGATGCAAAGAAGATTTGTATTCACATCTTCTGGAAAGAGGAGACAGAACAAAGAAGCAAAAACATCTCTAACTAGACAGAAAACCTAGAGTACCATATGATACTCATTTCCAAAAGAGCAGGCGCAACTGACCATTAAGACAGGTGGCATTGTTATCATGTTATGTCAGAACAATAAGAATGTCGTACACAAGAACATGATAGTCAGAAGAACTTAAGATACTAGCATCAAGCCAATGTAGACCCAGAAGAACTTTCAAGTACTAGTTGGACTACAAAAACATATACCATTATCTTGAACTAGATTCAACATCCCTCTACAGGTCTCCACGAGAACGGTGTAATCACCAGCATTCCTAGCATTAAAGAAAAAGAACAGCTGGCGGAGGTAATCTGAATCTTCACAAAAGCAACGCCTGAAAGCACAACAGCACAGGTATCACTAAAATAAGAATAACCGAAACAGATCCTATAAAGCAGTACGGTTAGAAGTTTCAGTTGGGACCTGTCTGTATTTTGGCAATAACTTCCATATCTTGAAAGGAACTGCTCCCGCACCTTAGCACGTTCTGCTTTTGCTGCCTTTCTACCTCTGAAGCATTTCTGTAGTCACTAATCAGTCACGATATGAATTCATTTGTTTCAAATCATCACAAAGGTTCAGCAAGAGGAAAACCAAGCAGTGGCAACTTCAACCAAAATGAAAGTTCATACAGCGGTTCATTACTCTAGTTAACAAAAATAACATCACCCATGTGGAGAATTATGGAACATTGCTATAATCTAGTTTTCTACTCTGGTTAACGCCAAATCCAAAATACAAGCCTTACTGTCTTGGTATATCCGAAGGATACTATACCCACACACGAAAATAGAACTTGCTTGTTGGTACTTACAATGCAGAATTCGACCGTGCATTACAACACCATATCTCCTAGGAAATTTTGTGCAATCATATTTCTTGAATTGGAGGGTACCGGGTTTGCTCTTAACATTCTACCAGTTCTTAACCCCTGAGGCTGCCAACTACTTTCCATCACAGTTCATTAGCTCCACACGCTACCCGCAGACAAGAATTCTAATTGCAACATAAGGTTCCATTTCCCAATTATATAGCAAATCCCTAAATTATTCAGTCCGAACCCTTAGGTCACTGCAAGTCCTTCTCCCACAACTACTCCTAGCTTCCCATGTTCCCACTTACCGCGAAAGCAACAGCACGAGAACAAATTTCTCAATTGAAAGAAGACCTAACCTGAATTATGATTGCGGCCGCATTCTGCTTCCGCTGCCACAATCTGCGATCACGCTCCATCCTCGTCTGCTCCATAAGCTTCTGCGTGTCTCTCTCCTTTGAACTCCGCCCTCCCAAGGCGACCCGCTTCCGAGACGTCGGATCGCCGGAGAAGAACATCGTGAACGGGAGTCAACTCTGAATAACCCCCGCTCAAAAGCCAACTCGCTGCGCCGGGAAATCAGACAATAAGAATACTGCCAAGAATGAGCTTCAAGGAATTCAGTCTTGACTTTTGATAAAAGTCTTCGGCGGGAACGGGGTCGTCGGCGGGAAGCTTTCGCGGCACAGAGGGGGCTTTAGCTCGAAAATTGGAGACGGAGAAAGAATCGGAGTAAAGGTGGGAGAGGAATCAGCAGTTGGCGCTTTTTCTCGGCTTGCAATGGGTTGGGAAATGCAGAGAGGAAGTAAGGACTTGGGGCGAAAGAAAGCTGGAAGGAAGGAAGGCAAGGAACCAGACAAGAGGACAAAAGGATTCGGGGAGTCGGTCTAGCGGGTCGAATACCTCGTACGTAGGCCCAATAGAAAATTTTCCCAAACCCCACCCTTAATTTGGATCTGCATTCAAGCCCAAAGTTGTCAAGAGCCCAGATTCTTGGTATGCCATTGGACGTGGGCCAAATGTTCCAATTTGTTTTTCTGGCCCAGAGAAGCCCTCACTTCGCCCTACTATTGGGTTATGGCTCAAACAAATCCAACAAATCTAGAGAGGCCGTTTAATAAGAGCCCAAATAATTCAAACACGATGAGTTGCTTTGGACAATTCCTCTATTCAAGCCCATCCAAGAAAAATTGGCTTTTGAAATCATGCAAATCTAGTTACCAACTCCTATCCACCATCGACGACAATGACTAATCCTTCGTTATAAAAAAAAACTCCAGACAGTAAGTGATAAACAACTAGTTCAAGTTAGGCATATTCTCATATGTAGGGATCGAGCCTCGTACCTCGTCAACCACCTCATAAAAAAGTGACCGAGTCATATCATAAAATTATAAAGTAACTTTTTATTTCTTTATTTTTTTTGTTTGAGATATGTCAATACCGAGATAGAACAAATAAGCAACATTTTTCGTACTCTCCCAACTTAAGTTAAAAAAAAATCTAAAGACAATTTATTAAACAAAAGAAAAGAGCTTTGCATGTCGCTACATGAGCGTCACAGTTAGCAATTCTAAGTACCACTCGAAAAACTCTGTTCTCGAATCCTAGTAGCTTCTGTTTCATATAATACTAACAGGGTTTGACTATCAAAATTAGTCAACCCCAACTAACTCAGGCTACACCAAGAGAACATTTTTCCAAAGAAATTAGGCTGAAAAGCATAATAAACTTTGTATTTATCTAAAACAGTTGTAGGACTTAACTAGATAGGAATTATGGTTATTCTGATATGGTATAATGGTTCTTGGGCTGCCTTGCCTTGCCCACTTGGGGGTACTCCTTAGGAAATTAGGTCAAAGCTGGCAGTTGACCTTTGCCTTTTCTGACCTTGGGCTTGTTCAACCTTAAATTCGGGTTGGGCTTTGACTTATATAATAATTGATTAATGTTTTTGGTCAAATGTTGTGTATGATAATTGGGATTATATATCTCGTACGTGTTACTCGGTCAAAGTAAGGTGAGTCCCTTAGTTCTTACTTCTTGACGGGCAAATGATTGACCGAGATATGAGAGTTCCCTTATTAATTAACTATGCTTGCTTTTGATTAGTTTTGACCTAAAACTAATTTAGTCAGCTGTCTAGTGCATTGGTGATTATAGCATTCATAGATAATTTGACATTGGGGAACTACAATTTAATTTGAGTTCATACTTGAGGTTCGTCAACACTTATTGGGACTAACTCCTAGTGGCTAATTAATAAAATCCTCAACTACACAATCCATTAGGGTGTCTAAATCCCAATTGCATTATGCGATCCATGCATCTTATGCCAATATCAATAATAATAATGCTGGAAATAACTTGAGTTATTTGATTATCTTTTCAACGAGAAATGACATATTCGGTTAGAATGCAAGCAAGAATTACAACATATATCACATATTTTTGTAGCTTTTCACTAACTAAAAGCATTCTTTTGTGACATGATGAGATACTTGTGCTTCACTATTCTCTCAGAATTTTCAAATTGGTGTGGATGTTTTATAACTGCAATTGAAATTTCTTTAAGATTGTAATAAGTAATACAGTCAAAATCGTGATTCTATATAAAAGCGCTTTGGTGACTTAGAAGCGTAAAAGCATAATTTTTTAAGTTTTAAAGCATAGATTTTTACTAAATTTTAAGTGAAAGCGATATTCTACGTAGAAGCGTTTTGGTAATCTACAAGTGTTAGTTTTTCAGTTTTAAAACGCGATTTTGACTATATTGATAATAAGTTTGAGATTAATTAGTTTTGGAACTCATCGATCTACTATGAACCAAAACGTTCAAAGGCCTAAAGTTTTTGACAACTAAAATACTTAATCTAGTTAAGTGCCTTTTGATCCCCCATGATGATTATTGTATTAGGATGCAAAAGCATCCCTTGGTTGACAAGTAAACAGCCATATTAGCCATCGACAATGCAACACACGAATGGGAAATAGTGAAAGCGTGTGGGGCTATAACCTTATAGCATGGTATATATATATATATAGGGATTGAAAGTTTGAAACTGAGTATAATCAAAACCCAAATTGCGCAGAATTTCATCATTAAAAGCTAGTTTTGGTTATTGTTGGTTTTATTATTTTATAAACAACTAATCAACACAATGTCTCTCTATGTCTATAATCCCAAGACGACGGCCTAGAAAGGCATTAAAGCATGCACGAACAGAACAAAAACAGAACACAAAAGCCGCCGGAATTTCACACATTCACACCAGGTGATGAAAGTGTGCTATTCAAAGTGTATATATAGTGGGAGAAGGTGAACTTTACTACTTTGTGTAGTTCTTTGATAAGTTACTAAACTAGATTCATCATCGTAGTTCTATGATAAAAGTGACAAGTACTCTTTCGACGTGTACAATTCGCGTTAGTTCAAATAAGAAAAGGTAAACATGTTTTTACAAGCCAAATAATGTGTAAGAAATGGGTGGAGCTGATGTTGTTGGGTGACTTCAGAACATATCCAAGGTAGGAGGTTTGTCAATCGAGTTATTTTTACACCAACTAAATTTGTATATTCGTGATTTTTTTTTTTAACGTTCTGGTGCTACGAACTACGTTTTTCTATGAGAATCTAGAAGCATGTAAGTGTGCATACATAGGAAAGATCAATCCTCAATTAATTTGGAAAACAATTTGTATAGTGATGGTCGACAAGAGATGAGCCCCATGAAGGATTAATTAATGAGCTCATTTTTGTCAACATAATCAATTGCATTTGGTTGTGCTTTAACCAACCGGATGTCTCCAAACCTGGGAAACGAAGGAAATAATTAAAACCGAAAAGTGTTTCCTCTCACACGAATCAAATAGCCAAAAGAGACTTTCTTATAGCTTCTTAATTATGCCCTTAATTACTAGCTTAGCTAGTTCCTCTTTTCCATATGCATGCATGTTCTTGTTTTGTTCCTTTGCAGCTTTAATTGCTACTCACAACTTATGTTTTCTTTCTTTCCAATTCATTTTGGCATTGGCTTCTTTTAATTAATCTTGGTTCCTGCATGTGTACAATTGAGCATAACCTAATCTTCTTCTGAAATGGGAAACCATGCACAGCAGCCAAATATCACTTACACTCCACTTTAAAAATAATACTCCAAAATCCAAAGCATGGTGGGATTAGTAAAGTTACGAATTTGTAATAAAAAAAAAATTTAAAGTTCTCGTCTCAATAAATCGAGTATTTTGGAAATGTGTTATGCGCCTTTGGGTCCGGACTAACTTCTACTTATTGAATCTTCAATCTCCGAACTTTGAGATGCCTTTTTTTAACCAAAGATAGCTTGTATTACCAAGAGAAAGATAGATCGAACGTTTACAACTCCGAACGGAGCCAAGCGCAAAAATCAAAACCAAGCACAGCACTAGCCGACAAATCTAGGGCCTTCCTTGCCACCAAATGGGCAACCCTATTGTTCTGCCTACCCACGAACTGCACTCTAAACCCCGGGAACATATGCCGAAAAGCCCTGACTTCCTGAAGGATTGCTCCACCCTTGGCGTCCCGCACCTCCAGCGCATTCACCTTGTCAATTATAACTTTTGCATCCCCCAAAAACAACATTGATCCCCCCGCCCCTCATTATGCACCAGTACATAGCCTCCCGAAGAGCAATCAACTCCACCACCGCTGGCTCAAACGCTCCATCCAAACGTTCCCCTTTCGCGAACACGACGGCTCCCGTTGCATCCCGAATAACTATCCCCACTGCAGCATGAGATTGACCACAAACCGCACCATCAAAAGAACACGACAGCTCCCCCACGACTCCAGCCAACCCCCCCCCCCCCCCATCCCCCCCTGCACTGGCGGATCAGCAAGCCCCCCAACCCCCTCACCTTCGAGCACCCTTTCCCACTCCTGAATTTGATGCAGTAGCTGCTGCCTGAGAACGGCTCGATGGACCTGCTTCAACTCGAATACCACCCAATTACGCGCCTTCCAAATGCGCCACAAAACCGCCACCACTCGACACATCATGGCATCCGATGTTACCCGCTCCAAGACCCGACGAAGGAAAACCACAAAGTTAGCTCCATCCAGGCCATCTGTCAGTCCCAGGACCCCACCGCCTTCCCATAACTCCCTAGCCACCGGGCAAAGAAAGAAAAGATGCTCTAAGGATTCCAGCTCCGCCCAGCAAACCGAGCAACGCCCCAGGACATCGACCTCCTTCTCGAGTAAAGCCTCCGTAGTGGGCAGAATACGACTGAAAATCTGCCAAAGAAAGAATTTCAGCTTTGGTTGCACCTTCAGCGACCAAACGGTCTTCCAAAGCTTCAAATCCATCCAGCTAACATCCTCCTTCCATTTAGCCCACCGGCGCCTCCGACGGAATGCCAGATGATATCCAGACTTGACCGTGTAAGCACCCGATGAATCCTCCACCCAAATAAGTTTGTCCTTCACCTCTAAGCGGGGCAACGGAATAGCCTTACTCGTATTTCACTTTGAAAATATTAATTCAAACTCGTGATTAAAAAAAAAGACCAAATAGAGTACAATTTTCATGTTTATTGTAAATGGCCTAAATTTCACTTGTGATAATTACTTAATCATTTATGTGTTTTGATGTCATTATAGTTCGCAATTATATATCGATCGGTTGCTTCATATGAGGTCGAAGTGGTTTGATTTGTTGATGGTGGGGTTGTATTTTTGTATGCATATACATCCAAATTAGACTCTCCAGCCATGGAATTATCATAGTATCATTATAGAAATATAAATAGAAGTGTTAAGTATTTAATTAATTTCAAT